GTGAATTTTACTTACCACCTATCAACCCAAACCTGGATATTGTACAGGTCTTTCCACACTTAGATATGAACTGTTTCATTATGAGGAGTCATGAATGGTGTTAAACATTGTGCAGCCATCAGAGAATTACTATTGTTATGCAAGTGAAACTTGATAGCACTCTCTTTGGCTACTGATCAAGAGGAGGCTGTTGGGTGGTAATTGACTGGTTTGAAACTGCAGCTTCTCATGCACAGAGCAAACTTGGGCAATTTCCATATTCGGGTAGATGCAGTTGTTGTAGCTGCAGTGGAACAGCATGGAATAGGACTAGCTTTGGATGAACAGTCTTCTGTACTACTGCTGGGATGTTGTCAGGGCCCGTAACTTTTGTGTCCAGTGCCTTTAGCCTTTTCTTGATATCACATGGAGTGAATTGAATTGCTAAAGACTGGCATATGAGATGCTGGAGACTTCAGAAAGAAGCTGAGATGGATCATCCATTCAATATTTGGTGAAAGGTGATTGTAAATGCTTCAATGTTATCTTTTGCAATTATCTGCTGAGCTCTCTGTTTACAATATTGAGGATGTGGCAAATTGTATGCCACCATTCTTGACTTGATGTTATAAGATTATAGAGCTTTGAGGTCATCCATTTGATATGAAATTGCTTAAGCAGGTATGCATAATGCTGCTGCTGGCATGTACTGCATTCATCATTAAACCAGGATTGATTCCCTGGTATAATGGAGAGTGAGGAATGTGTGGGGCCAGAAGGTTAGAGATTGTGATTAAATGCAATTTTGCCAGCACAATACGTAGTATGGCCTGAACTGCTTCATGGATTTTCAGTTTTGACCAACTAGATGCATTCTGAATCTACCTTATTTAGCACATTTGCAGTGCCACCACATGACAATAGATATGATTATTAGTGTGAAGATGGAACTTTGTCTCCGCAATGGCGTGCGGTGTTCACTCCTACATAGCCTCTGATTGGAAATGAAGACTCAACCAGAGTACATTCAATGCTCTTTCTATCCTCAGTGCTTCCTCCAAGTAATACTCATCATACAGAAGTGCCATAGCAGTAAATGGGTATTCAGTAGGTAGTTTCCCTGTCCATGTTTCACTTGAGGGCATGAGACTTCATGGGGTTTGGAGTCAATGTTTAAAACTCCCAGAGCACTCCCTCCTTACTGCATGGCACTGCGTTGTTGCTAGTTATGGTCTGCCCTGCTGGTGGAACAGGACATATCTAGGAATGACAATGAAGTTGGAGGATATCAGCTGTAAGGTATGATTTGTTTAATGTGTGAGTTATTAAGCTTGACAAGTTTGGAACAGCTGTCCAAATTTTGGCACAAGCCCCTAGATATTAGTTAGGAGAATTTTGCATGTTGAACCAGGTAGGGTGTTATATTACTATTTTTGGTATCTCACTGCTGATTGATATATCAAATTTTATTCCTGTTTTTACTTTTCAGCTGTGGTTTTGTACAACTGAATGGCTTGCTGGGCCATCTCAGAGGGCAGTTGAGTGACAGCCACATTGCTGTGGGTCTGGAGCCTCATATAGGCCAGATTGGGTAAGGACGTTAGTGAACCAGGCAGATTTTTACAACAATCCAGTAATTTCATGGTCACCATTGTTGAGACACATATCCCATTCCAGATATATTAACAAATTGCATTTAAATTCCACAAGGTGCCATATTTACGTTGTATGTAGGCCTTGTCCAATGTGACTAGTCCAGTAACATTACTCCTACATCACTCATTCCCCACACTTCTGAGTGTAGTCCCTGTTGTGAAGTTGGGAAAAATGTCAGCCAAATTGCAGACCACAAGGTCCATAGACAGCAATAAGGTAAATCATCAGATAAAAGCAAAATACTGTGAATGCTGGAAATCTGAAACACGCAGAGAATGCTGAAGAAATTCAGCAGGTTTGGCAGTATCTGTGGAGAGAGAAACGGAGTTAATGTTTTGATTCCAGTATAATTTCTCTTCAGAAGGACCAGATAATTTTTTCAAAAAAAAAGTGATGCCAGTGTACTTGTCTTTTACAATACTTCAATATGTAGATATTTAATGTCGCAGCTGAAAAATGATGCCTTCAGCAGTGCAGTGCTCTCTCAGTGCTGTGCTGAGGTGTCAAACCAGATTATGGGCTCAAATCCCTGAACTGGGGCATGAACACATGACCTTTTGACTCAAGAGGCAAAAGTACTACACTGAGTCAAAACTGACATTTTTACAGAATGTATGCAAAATACACGTTAACAACTTAATTTTAAATTTCAAATAGTTTTAAAAAAGATCAGTTTGAAAATAAAAAATATTTTACTTTATTCTGCTTATTTGCTTATTTTAAGACAGTCTAACCATGAGAACGAAAATCGCCAAAGCTGTTAAATAAACTACTGAAGCTAGTTGTGTGGATGAGAGAAGTGATAATATCAGCAGATACAGTACCTTAAATATGTTCAACATCAGCTATTTATCTTCATTGAATCTCCACAAATTCTTTTCAATCAAGCTCATAATAAGCACTTCCTTTTTAAACTGAAGTATAAAGCATACTAACAGACTAAAACAAAAGGATGCAATTTATTAGCTAGATCCATCTATGTAGTTTTACGAGGAGCTGTGATGGCGAAATTCACTAATGGAAACTTAGTTTTCGATTATTCAAATTTAGGCTTAACTACTTGGTTCAGTTTTGAGGGCTGACTCTTTTGCTCTTAGAGTGCATATCTGCTGGATAGTTATTTTACCTATCATAAGTTGATCTCCTGTGGCGTTTAGTCTTCAGGTGAACAGGATTTAGACAGCGAGGAGATATATGGAGTGAGATAAGTAAGTATTCCATGGTGTTTTTCACTGAGAGGTGGGAACAAGTGTAGTCTCTGGGTGAAAAGCATTCAGTAAATGAGGAAGTAAATAGAACATATTACATGAGCGCACATGATCAAAAATCACATGACACCAGGTCCAACAGGTTTAATTGAACACTCGAGTATTCGGAGTGTTGCACCTTCCTCTGGTGTAATGTGTACATGAGGCATTGTAAACTAAGTCATTAAATTTATTGTTCAATAACAGTAGGGTGGTTTCCCAATGTTCTGGGTAACTGCAAGGTCAGTGACTTAGTGCTTGACAAATCAAATTCTCCCACAAATCAATTTCTATCTTAATTGTTTCATCATTCTAAAGCCCTAGAATTCCTTCTCTAAGCCTCTATACCTCAATGTTCTATTTTAAGATGTTTCTTAAAACCGACTTCTTTGGCTAAACCTTTGCTTAATTGGTCTAATACTTCCTTTTGTGTTTAGATGTCAGATTTTGCTTCATTATTCAAATTTAGACTCAATTACTTAGGTCAGTTTTGCGGGTTGACTCTCACTCTTGGACTGCAGCTGTGGCATTGATTGTGAAGCACCTCAGAATATTGAAATAAATTGAAGGTGCAGTACAGATACAAGTTTTTAAATGAAAAATCCTTTGTGTGTGAAAGGTCCCATCTATGTACATTAAAATTTTGAATTTGGGAGCAGACTTCCATCACATTTGTGATTTACAGAGCTTTGTCTTAGCTGTAGTTTCACCTCATCTGTGCATTTCACTAACTCTAGAGCATTAATTTAGAATTTATAGGGTAGGACTTTTATAGTATGTATAGTATGTATAGCATGCTATAGTATGTAATGATGGATATGTTGACTTCCATGGCAATTCCACAAATAAGATCAACATCTACATCTGTGACGAAATATTATTATACAGCTGTCAGCTCATAACCACAATTGCTTCTGCTGTGGTCTATGTCTTTAGCCAATTACATTATACTCAAAATATAAAATAACTTCTCAAGCACAATTACAGATGAGTTTGAATGTATACAAGCTTCACTTATTTTTCTGGGCTACAATATCTCAGCTAGAAGTAGACTAAAGTCTGTATAGAATGATCATATGGCTATAATAGATCTTCCAAATTCAGCCAATACTCTAAGGTAGTTTGTTGCAATATTGTGAATCTAATTAAATGAATGTAGTAAATGCTACTTGATCAGAATAAAGTTAGGTATGCTGAATATTTTTGCAGATGGAACATCAGTGATAGTAGATGCACATGATTGAACTATTGAAATAAATTCTTCACTAGGGAGAGAATTCCACAAGCATAATTCTCCTTCTGTAGAAGATAGAGAGAATTTTAGCAAGCGAAGTGTTTCTGAGCTGATATGCTGCATTGTAGAATGAAACCTTTCCTAGGTTCACCATGACTGTTGTGTTTACATGAAAATATCAGATTCAGGCACTTTGTCTAAGCAACCAAAGGTTAGGTACTGAGACAGTTTACATTGAAATGTCAGCCATTGCTCAGAGAGTAGCACTTTGTTCTCTGAAATAGATGATTGACAGTTCAAGCCCTATTCCAGAGATGTAACTTCAAAATTCTAGGTCATTGCTTCCATTGCAAAATGTGGGAGTGCTGCTCTGCCCATGATGCTTTTGTTTGCATGTAATTTTAATCTGAGTCATCGTATGTCTCTCAGATGATCACCAAACATCCCATAGTACTATCGAAAAAGAGTTGGGGGATTTCTCTGATGTACTGGTTTAATATTTATCCCTCAAGTTTACTAAAACAAATAATCATTATCGTATTGTTGTGGGATTTTGCTGTACAAACAAATTAATTGCTGTGTTTCTCACTATGCTTCAAAAATGTCTACATAAATATCCAGAAGGATGAGATAAAAATGTAAGCTTTTCTCTCCATTTTCACACAACCAGAAAATCTCGATCATGCGTAGTGGATGCGTTTGAATAGATTGGTGGAAAGTTGAACATGTTACATTGGGAGGCAATCAAACCAAGACTTTTTTTTTAATGAATGAAGATAAAATATTAAATTTGAGGCCAGAAGAGATTTTATGTGATTAAATTTAACAGTCCTGTTATCATGTGCTTTGTAGTGGTTTGTTAAAAAAAGATTACTTTGTTTCAGCTGAGCTTCCAGCATAAAGTTGGAGTCCTGTACTGTAAAGCAGGCCAAAGCACTGAAGAGGAGATGTATAACAATGAGACAGGAGGCCCAGTGTTCGAAGAGTTCCTTGATCTCCTTGGCCACAGGGTGAGATTGAAGGGTTTCAACAAGTACAGAGCACAGCTGGATAACAAAAGTAAGCTGTTACTTCTCTTATTTTTAATTTATGACCTTCCCCATACAAAAGACAAAAACACAAAGTTATCCAAATATAGAACATAGTTAAAAGAAATCTGAAAATACCAAGCAAAATAGACTTTCAATCTATTCCCCAACATGATCTCTTCAGCATCTCAAATCAGAGAAATTTTCTTTCTTTGATTTATCCCAGGTCTTTGTTGTGAGCTATGAAGTTGTCTTACATGAATGTCTCAAAATGCAGAGCTTAGACATTTTCAGTTATTAATAACCCACAGATTTCTACCTGAACATTCTTAGTATGGAAAGTGCTTCCTGTTGCCTGCCACTTCAATACACCGCCATGTTCCCTGGCCAACATATCTAAACCAGGCTTGCTACAGTGCTTCAGCAAAGTTCAGCGCAAGCTGGAAGAACAGCATTTCTTTTTTCTGCTTGGAGATCCTGTAACCTTCAGAGCACTTTCTCCAATGTCCTTATCCTAACCCCCATTCACCAGGCCTTGTGATCAGATGGGCTGCTTTCTTCACACCAACCCATTTTCACCCACTAATGGTTCCCATTATCAGCTTTTCTTTCTCCAAAGTTCACCATGATCCATGCCTGTCTAATTGCTATTCTTCGTCTAGGCCCCATCTCCACCTATTGTTTATTCCTTTACCCCTGCCCCTCCATCTTTGGCATGTATACCACCTTTTCCTACCTGCAATCAGTTCTGAACAAAGGTCATTTGACCTGAAATTTTGACTCTGCTTTCTCTACACAGATTCTGCCAGACCTGCTGAGTTTTTCCAGCTTTTTCTATGATTGGAATGGGAGCTGTCCAATAGCATACTTCTGTCTTCCATCATTCAGGTTCATAAACATTTTTGAGTGAAAGTTAAAGATAATTAATTTTTCTCCTGTCTATGTTATACTTTGTTTAGAAATGGAAACATTTCAACACCCATTGCTACCATCTTTTGACTTCTTGAACATTCTTTCCTCCCCAAAAAGTGTTCTTTGGAAAAGTAGTTATTGCTTGTTCTTGCTATTCTTTTCAAAATGTTTATACATCATGCTTTATTTTTATGTTTCAGCTGACTCCACAGGAACTCATTCTCTTTATACTACGTACAAGGATTATGAAATCATGTTCCATGTGTCAACGATGCTTCCATACACACCCAACAATAGGCAACAGGTACATAAGGCTCTGAACTCAAACATAGCATCAGTAGATAAAATCACTAATTTTACAAAGATTGGACATGGTGGAATATTTTCTTGTTGCCAGCATTTGGATGCAATAATTGTGGTGTGTCTTTTTCTCTATTAAATTTTGGTTGGTGTAAATGTTAGTATTAAAAATTGTTTTCAGTCGTTACAACATCTGTATTAATGACTAGTTAATAGTGATATAATCTTGTTCTTCTCCATATAGTTTTATAGATATCAATAGTTTAGTATAGATGTTTTAGACAAATTATGTACTCAGTAGTGTTAGATCTAAAATATACAAATTCCTCATTGCATCTCCTGCCTGATTCTTTGCACTGCTCTGTATTTGAAGTCTGTTGCAAGAATATGTAATCAAATTTTAATTTGTACATTTTGTAGGTCTCCTAATAGTTGACCTAATCAAACTCACATACAATATAAGGTTGAGATTGCTTCTTGGTCTACATTGAATTAGCCAGTTTTAAGGGCTAAGCTAGGGAGGGAGAAAAAGAATCAGCCATCCTTGATAACTAGTAAACTTAACTTTAAAGTGGATAAGAGGAGGCAGGGTGAGGAACTTGGCTGCAGTGGTTTCTAATTTAGTGATACTCAACTTTTTTTGGATAAAGATAATGCAAAGGCATGCATTTTGCATTGGATTTGATAGCAATAATTCCAACTAAAGGTATTCCTCATCCTGTCTTGACCGTCCCTTACTCTTCCTAATATTTCCCTCCCTGGTGCAATGTGAACAATAGTAAGAAGGGTGGGAACATACTCAGAAAATCAACACAGACAGAATCTCAATGTGGAGAAAGAATTCTGATTTTGCCCTCACATCTTAACTAGCAAGTTCAGAATCTCGCCATTGAGTAGCAGCCTTGTTTCCATGAATTTGCATCTCATTAACCTCTCAACCGGCCTTATTTTAATTTCCAATCCTCTCCTTCCTTGAGAAACTCGGCACAAATTCTGTCATCAGAGTGGATATCTAGCGGCTGCAGCTCATTGAATTCCTGTCCTGGCCATAATCTAACTGCATCTTCACAATGGGGGTTCCTGCAAGCACCAGGGGCTCTATCCGTCTCAACCCTTCATCCACATAGGCCAGCATCAGCAAACCATAAGCATTGCCACATCATCATGCTTGCTTTCAGACCACTCACACCTTTCAAAACTTTACTTTGAAACTCAGGGTCATCTGTGACTCGCTTGCTTCCGCCCAGTCACTTTGTGCACAGGCACTCAAACATCTCAAGCAATTACAGCAAACTTTTTTATTAACTGGGACCTGTGGGACTAGGAATGTGCTGGTTGATCAAATATTCTGGATAATCAAGAGGTCCACACGATCAATGTAAAAACACAGACTAAGTAACAAATGTAATGCAGAGGGTATACACATCACTGTTATACTTTATTTACAGCATAAATCACTTAAATAATAATGCAACTTTGCTTTAAATAAAACTTGCTGGAAGATAACCATCGCACTCATTCCCTCAACTAACTACTTGGACATCACAGTATTTGAGGAGAAATTGACTTGAAATTGAATCAACTGTTGATACTTTGTGTGGCCATTCAATTGAGCAACAAATATATTTACTGTGAGGTAAATAAATTTATAAAAACGAGAACAATTGGACAGAATAATACAGTAAGCTTTGCAGTATTTGAGACATATAATTTGTGCCATTTTATTGAAATTGCTGGTTAAAACAAAATTTGCTGTACAAAGAATCCATCCTATGGGCCTTGGTTGTTTTCTTAATGCTCTTGTCCTCTGCCTGCACTTGGAGACTGATAGCCCGTGTATACGTCAAATTGCTTTATTAGTGCCCATTCACTGACTTATGGGCTGCCAGCCTCTGTGGCTAAATCGCTTTCTTAACACAAATAGTCTTTACTCAAATTCAAGCTGCTGGCCCCAATAGCTTGCATTGCTTTTCAGTGCAGAGGGCGAAGGAGACAATTTATGATCGTGGGGAGCACTGACCGTTCAAGGCTGGTGGCTATGTCACTCTGTGGCTCCATGCTACTTCAGTGCCACACCTGCAGCAAACACCCTGCTTCAAAAAAATGACCACAAGTCAAAAGAGAGCAAGCGCTGTGGAGAGTTCACTGTGCCAGATTTTCCCTCCAGAAAATAAGTGGAGTAGAGTATGAAAGAGCATGGTGATACATAAGCAGGAGAGGTAATAAAAAAGGTGTCCTCCATGAGCGTGTATGAGCGAGCAAGAAGGTTGAATAGTTTGGGAGGATGAGATGAGTAAAAGCTATTGAGTGGAAATCATGCATTTAATACTAAGAGTTATAATCCATGAGCCTTGGTGAGATGTGTGTACAGTGGCAGATTTAGAGTGAGTGGTGTTTTTTTGAATGAGAGGTAGCAGAGCGAGATGGTGGCACCTAGCCGTGTGGAGTGCAGAAGATCATTGACCCTTCTTCCTGTCCTACTGGGTGTCCCACTTTCCTAAGAATACAGGGCTGATCTAGGTTGCAATTTGTGTCCAAGCTGCCTTGGTCTAGTGTGTCCTCTTGTGGCTGTGGCACTTAGCTGGGAAAAGGACTGCCCTCCTTTCCACCATGTGCACCAACGTCTCCAGGTCCTTGCCCACAAAATAGGGAGCGAACTTTCTTTTCTTTGGGCCATGTATTGAATGGATGCTCAAACACCATAGGATGAGAGTCTATCACTGACTTGCAGCCTCTGATTTGATGTGCAGGTTGGAGATGGGCTTTAAATATGGCACCAGCTCCATGAAAACTGGAAGAACCCAGCAGTGGTAAGCACTTGTGCCTTTACAGCTGCATGATTCCCCAAGAAAGGTGTTCAAGAGGTTGATTGTGTAATTAATGAGGTGAAGAGTGGAAGGCTGCATGAGAATAGTTGCTCCAAGCCATAGTAAATTAGTTGCCATGAGTCTCACTGAACAAAATACTTAAACTGAAAAGGGGAAATTCCACCTCTTGTACTCGTTCCCGTGAGAGCATAGCTGTCTCATTTTTATTTTAAATCTTTTAAATTCTAATTCCTTATCTTTTTGTCCTGCTTCACCTACTACCTTTCCCTAATTTGAACCTGCACAGTGTAGGGTAATACAAAACAAAACAAAACGTGTGTATATGTGTAGATAGCCTTGGGATTACATGGTAGGCTATTCCAACAGATGGTTTTAGATATATTCTTGGTTAGAAAATTTGTTACCTAATATGCAATGAATAAATATACCGGAGGCACCCTACTCTTGGGAAGAGAATACAGTGTTGCAGGTCAGGTAACTCTGTGGGTTAGTGGCTGAGAATAATACAATAATACAATCCCTTTTCAATTCTCATTCCAGCTGAGATACATTTGGAACCTTGCCCCGAAAGTGGAAGGCAGTAGCAAAATACCATTGACAATAAAAATGCCAGCCAGCAATTTAGGATGAAGCATTAGCAGATAATGAGTTAAGGACCTACTTTTAGGGCAGTGCACACATGACAAAATGTAGCATTGCATAGTGCATATGTAATGCCATTGCAAAGTGCACCCAATATTTAATAAATTTTTTAAACATTTCTAATAAAGTACAATGCATCTGGAATTAGAACTGATAAATTATTAATATATGCTAATCTACTCTTAATTTTAATCTAATTGGGAGCATTTTACTGGTATTGCATACTTGATCTGTGCTACAGTTCTGTATTGTGATTTCTGTATATCTCCTCCCCATCATTTAATTTTGCTCATAATATCCTCAATATTTATTTGCTAATAGAAGGTAGGGAGTCTGACCCTTCGATTTTGCCATTACTGTTTTTTTGGTCATTGGGTAAGGTTCAACTGGCTATGAACTAAATGTGTAAAAGGCTCTGTAGTATGTACAGCCCTCTTAGAACCCCTCTCCTCCACTCTGGTCCGTTGCATGTTCCCAGGTTTCATACACCACCTACACAGTGGCTGTGTTGTCAGCTCTCCAGGCTTGGAATCCACACTCTAACCCTCTTGCCACCCTAAATCTCTTTTCCTTCTGGTCATCAGTTCTGATACCTTCTTTTATAGCTCAGTGTCAGATTTTGTCTGAAAGTATTGGAATGCTTTACTATATTAAGGGCACTGTATAAATTCATGCTGTTGCTGTGCAGGGGTTCGGTAGGTTGTCAGCATGTGGAGATTTTCTAGCTCTGTACTTAGTGCATTTTTTTTTGCCACCTTTTAGATACCTGTTAAATCCATGATGTTGGGAGGTAAAGGGTAGGAGACTTAAATTCTTTCTCATTAATATGTCAATAGAACTTTGTGAGAATTTATTCTTGTTTTAAATAAATTCTGTAATGTAGAAATGTATGTGGGTCAAGAGGGAATTGACAATAAAATTCCTTTTGTGGGCTGCATTCAAACATATTTGAAATCAATTTTCCATTTGTTTCTTTGGCATTGATAGATGTTCAGAGTGTGAATGCTGCTGAACAGCTGACTGTTTGAGGACATCAGTAGGAGGAAAATGAAGTGTATTCACACTACTTCCTTTATTTAGTAACACAGTTCAGGATAGTGCGTTGGGTAATGATGTAACTGAAACTGTTAGTTTTGAACTAACCAAGCTATGGATTTACCTGATTAAAAGTTCCAAGCTTCTGTAAAGCTAAATTATAGCACTAACGGTGGAAACATTGGCCTCTTCATTTAAAATATTTATTTAAATATTTATGTCACCTCCTGTGTAGTGGCACCTGTCCCTCTCTTTATGTAACATTATCATCTTATTAATATAGTTATGATTTTCAATGAATGTAAAATATGCAATTCAGAATTAATATTTTCAAACAAAATCAAACATTAAGGCTGCCTCGGTAACAAATGAACAGGTCCTAGAATGCTGTACAAGTCTGGAAATGACTGGCTAACCATGCTTGATTCACTGGTGTAAATTGGAGTTATAGGCCTGTACTCAAAGTCAGGATTCTTTCCACATGGATCCAAGTAACCTT